GGTCAGGGCACAAGTGCAAGCAGTCACTGAGAACAAGAAGAACAATTCATTCTCTTGGAAAAGAAAAGGTAAAGGTACTGAGTTTATGGTGAGGTGGACTGGAAGTTGCAAACATGGACCCTTAAGTAGCCTCAACTTTATTAAGTTGGTGAAAAAGAAGGCTTTGATTCAGATCCCTCAGGCTTTCATGAAGGAAGGATAGTGACAAAGAAATGTACAAGTAACCAGAAAATGGTGACGTGGAGGGGAAGGTGGTAGGACTTAGGATACCTACAATAAGGAATAAGAGGACAGGCGTGGAAGCTCACACCTGTAATCCTAGCACTCTGGGAGGTTGAGGCAGGTGGATTGTCTGAGCTCAGGAGTTCAATACCAGTCTAAGCAAGAACGAGACCCCATGTCTACTAAAAAATAGAAAAACCAAGGCAAGAGGATCACTAGAGCCCAAGAGTTCGAGGTTTCTGTGAGCTATGATGACCCCAGGGCGACAGCTTGAGACTCTGTCTCAGAGAAAAAGAAAAAAAAGAATAAGAGATCTCCACTGGAGATGGCCTCAGGGGAGCTGATGTCTCTAGGAAGGGTCAAATTTCAATTATAGTTCGGAGCTATACAGAGTTTAAAATCAGGTTTTCAGAGAAGACAGAGAACAGGTTATAGAGATGGGTCAATATGGGGAGATAGATCAGTAGTGGAAAGAATAAGGCAAGAGGAACTTAGAGGTCTAAGAAAGCAATGAGCTCCAGGAGAGGAGAAGTAACCCAGAGGTAATGCAGGGCTGGGCATTTGCCAGTTATACACTAGCTGGATGTGCAGAGATCACAGACATGTAAAGAGATACTTGGCTCATTCATAATCATCCATGTACTGTTACATAATGCTATATTAGGTGCCAGACCTAAGCCCTATACAAAACAAAGAGGGGTTCTGACCTTGGGGATTTATGGTTTTGGACAATTATACACACACACACACACACACACACACTCTTCCCTTAATTATTACCTAATATTTTTTTCACACAACATCTGAAAGCTAAGACATCAGGTATTTTGATTTAACTATATTTGCATATATATCTTTTCTACTCAATTAGACGGAAGGCTTCTGGAAAGCTGTGTTCTATAGGAGAGGCTCTTACAAACTGGAGTTATCTGTCTACTCTACCAATAGTATAGGCAATAACTACAGGACAAACACACATGACCAAAATTTGCCTACTCACATACAGGACAGTTGATTTTAGTAGAGTTATTTTAATATTGGTAATCAAATACAATACAGTTAGGTGGTACATTTTAAATGTCAAAAAGTGAGCAGAAATTAAGAATCTATTTTAATGTCTTCCTCGAGACATCAGCATGACTTTGACACTGCAGAAACTGAATGTTCCGGTGCTCACAGTTATTTCATTCCGCCTAGTCCACACAGACATTGACATGGACAATTTCCAATAACGGCAGAATGATCAAATACTTCAGTTGGAGACTCATTTATTGTTTCCCTGCTTCTTTTTGACCAGCATATCCTTATCTTTCCTACTGCTTGTTTAATGCCTATCTTCTTCATAGCAGAGTCCCTAGCACAAGACACAGTAGGTATTCCACACATAATGAATGGATTTATGAGTTAATTGATTCAAGATAAAACAGTAAACAACACAAGTGCTGATCCTTCTTACACTATGAAAGTCTATGATGGAAACATTAAGTAAACAGAGAAAGAAAGGAAGATAATTTAGCCTATAGTCATGCCTGATTTTTCAGGATCTGAAGCAAAGCTCCCACTTACCAAACACATTAAGACTGAAACTTTTGCTCTTGTCGCCAGCTGTATTAGAAGCCAAACACATGTATCTTCCAGTGTGTGACACCTGGGCATTGGTAATGTGAAGAAAATGGCCCCCAGACTCAATGTGATGGGCTTCATCTTCTTGGATGAGCTGGCCATCTTTGTGCCAGGTGACTTTTGGCACTGGATTCCCTGTGAGAAAAGCCATTTCTGAGTGCTGCTAATAATCACGCCTACAGTGGATCAATAATATCTCTCCCCACATATCTCACTTCTAAAGCAGTTGGGTAACTATTTCTTTAAAAATAAATTTGCAAACTAACCTATTTTATTATAATAATGACCATGCCATAACTTAAAAAATATACATAGATTACAAATCAGTTTCAAACGTAGTTAGTTTTCACCTGGAAGTAAGGTTATTCTAAACTGACCTTTGTGTTTAACTAAAATTACACCATACTTTAGATGATTGTAATTAAGTATTTTCGGACTAATCATTTATAAAGAACACAACATGCATTTTTTAATATTAAAAATACTATTACTTGCAAATACCTTTACATTCATATTTAATTTTTAAACATTTTATAGTTTTGAAAACCAAAAGCTATAAAAGAGTTAAAAAATGAAACAAGTCAAAAGCAGATATTTTGAGTTTACATCAGGATTCTAGCATACATAGATGGGTAAATGGATAGACATACAAATATATTAATTATTTCTTTAAAGTTATAGCTTATAGGAAAAAGATCTTTAATATCTGTTTTGAAAGGAAGCTTATACTAAATACTAAGTGTTAAATGGTTCGAATAATTTTTGAAATTATTAAAATTAAGTCATGTTAGATACAAGGGCTAGGATTATATATTAGAATTGTCCAACTTGAGGGGGGAATTCTATAAAATTTTTGCAACTATCCTCTGTGCAATCGTTGTTAAATTATTGCATTGTTTTCAGAAAAATAGTTAATCGGTTAAGTAATAGTACATAGTACTTCTTTATCTCTGCCTTTCCTAAAACAGAAACATTTCCTTGCTTATCTAAATTTATTGCTCACACAAGGCGTGTAAACAACAAAATAAGAAACTCATCAAATCTTCCTTAAACCCTGTGTTTCTATAAATGTTATGGGCTACTCTTATTATTCCTTTAAAACTCTGAGGCCATCTGCAATTAAAGGATTTGAGAATGTCCTCTGAGAGATTTATTCTGATGGTACGTAACAAACCAATTTGCTGGTGAAGATGGTGAATTGGTTTTGGATTTTGATTTCTCCCAGTCTTTATTACCTTTGTAATATGGAAACATGTTAAAAACTGACAGTTTTGTTCTTGAATAATCTCCGCTATCACATAACGTTATTTTCCCACCAAAACTCCTTCCTTGTTTCTTTGAAATGAAATTTAAGAAAACAGGAAAAAGAAAGAACAGCACAACCACAAGGAAGGAAAGAGAAAATAAAAAGAAGTAGGGCAGGAAAATCATACGTGTTAAGTAGAAATAAAATAATCTTTTTAAAAAAAGAATAATTTATCAAATTGAAAGAAAAGACCCCCTCCCTCTCTCCCTCCCTCCATTCCTGTCATCTTTCCTCCCTCTCTCCCTCTTTCCTTTCTTCTTTCCTCCTCCCCTCCCCTCCTTCTTTCCTACTCCTTCCCTCCCCTCTTCCTTTCTTCCTTCTGTCCTCCCTCCCTTCCTTCCCTCACTCAATTCCTCCCTACTTTCCTTTCTTCCTCTCTTCTCTCTTTTTTCTCTTTTCTCTTTTCTTCCTTCTTTCCTTCTTTTCTTTCTTGTGGATATTTCCTTTTTGTCTCCACAGAATCTGAGAGGCTCCCCCCTACATTTCTACCAGCTGTATTTGTCTTGAATTCAATTTCAAATGTCTGTTACAGTAGCTGGACTTTCCCCCAACCAGTTCAGATCTGTGTGGAGGGCAATGGCTGCCAGTGAGGGGGGTGCACCAGGGGTAGGAGAGCTGAGCCCCTCACCTGTCACTTCACAAAGCAGCGTAACACTCTGTTTCTCTTTTACCTTCACGTCTTCCAAGGTATTTTCACCCACAATATGAGGCGGTACTAAAAAAAAAGAAAAGAAAATCACACACACAGAATAAATAACAGTTCTAGCAGCAGGGCTCATATTTTATAGGTATCTATGTTACATATATATATATATATATATATACTTTTTTTTTTTTTTAAGACAGAGTATCATTCTGTCACCCTGGTGTCATAACTCACAGCAACCATGAACTCCTGGGCTCCAGAGATCCTCTTGCCTCAGTTTTAATATTTTCAGTAGAGACAGGGTCTCACTCTTGCTCAGGCTGGCCTCAAACTCCTGGGCTCAGGCTGTCCACCTGCCTTGGTCTCCCAGAGTGCTACGGTTACAGGCATGAGCTACTGCGCCTGGCCAATATTTTTTATTAAGCTATACAGGTGTAACTTCAAAGCAAATCCCCATTTCTCATTCCTTATTTGAATATCATAATATTATTTGATCAATACTAGTTTTAAGATACATTATGAAGTTATATGTCATGAATTCAGTTATAGTGAATTTTATTTTAATGTAAGTCATAAATTCTGGATAAAATGTGTCAACAAATCAATGAGTAAAAAGATAAATTAGACACATATCTCTCCCACTATAACTCTACTATGCACTCACATTAAAGAAGTCATTCAGCATTCCAGAATACTGTTGAACAACTGTGAACCAACAAGACATGGCATTTTAGCCATTTTAATCAGACTGATGGCCTCCAAACAATTCTAACATTGAGCTCTTGCCACGAGTCACAGTTCAGAGGCCACACTACACAGAGGAATGAGATCAAGCTGTAAATCCCAATGTATTTAAGCCAATGAGATTTTCTTCTAGATATTGCAAATTATATAAGTACCTAACACGGACAGTCCAAAGGTTTTTCTTTCTTCACCAGCTGCATTCCTCGCAACACAAGTATATTGGCCAGCATCCTCCATTCTGGTTTGCATCATTCGAAGCATCCTGCCTCCTGCAAAAGCAAAGCCTTCATCCAAGAGATGCACGCAGACTGAGTCACTAAGGAGTGTAATTTGGAGGGAAACTCCATTTAAGGATAAGCATATAGGAATCATCCAGTGAGATGAAACCAAGCTTGCAGGGACCACACACACTGAGAGAATAGCCCTGGAAACCATTTTTGAGGAGTAAAGTCAAAGAAAAAAGATTCAGTCATGTCTTAGATTTTGTAGTCATTTTCTAGCTGGTATATTTTTGCTTGGCATCTTGAAGTGGAATAATTTTCATGTACATGTTCACCTGGATCTGGCATTGCCAAGTGTTTCCATCTGTCTTCTGTTTATATAAACACAACAAGCTGATAGGGAGCTTTTTCTATAAGCAACTTCCCCACCCTCAACCCACTGAAAGGTGAATTTAGTCATGTCAAATACAAACAAAGCTAGTTACCTGAATTTGGTCTTTTTTTCCACAACTGAATTTAAGCAAAGTTGAATGCAGAAATTATCTAAACATGTTTTTAAAAACATACGTAAATTCAGGAAGGATTCAAATATTCATTGCTACTTCAGATTACTGAGATCATAATATGATTCCAGTTGAGAGCGATTATAGCAATATAACTTCCATGAACCATTGCTGGCTCTGCAGACCTCAGCCTCCTAAGTCTCATGAGCCTTCTTTGCTCTTTATTCCCTCATCCTCTCACTTAATCCAGTGAAAAACAAAAATGGGTTCTGAGAGTAAGTTATAAGGAGATAATTTTAGGTAACTTCATAATAATAATAGGGTCTTCACCTAAGTTCTGTTTGCAGAAAAACTATACTAAAAGTCTCAGGAGGACTAATCCCAGTAAAATTAAATGTGTAGCAGACTGAGGACCAAGCAAGTCATATGCCGTTCATTCGCTCTTATTCATCTATTGCACAAGACACATGTTCAGATTGTAAAACTGAGTAACTCCTTTGGCAGAACCATAAGGTGAAACACTTTTAATCTGTTCACTCAGGGATCTCCAGCTGCTAGTCAAGCAAAATAAAACTAAATAAAACCATAACACCACTCCTGCAAATCTATAACAAGCCAGAGTACATCACTTTATCTTGCCTTTTCCACTTCCAGAAGCTCTCATGTACTTATTACATTTAGTAAGAGCTCCTATTTTCTTAGGAGTTGAACATTTTTTTAAAGCCAAAAAAATATGAATAAAATTTCAAGCCAAAAAGATATCGTATTCACGTTTTTGGTAACCAATTTTACTCAAATCTTTGCTGATTACCATGCACTTCCTAAGATCAAGGGTGACTGAGTTCTGTGAAAATGAAAGCTTTATAGTAAGGATGTAGGAAAATTTCCCAGCATGGACAGATCACAAATATCCAGGTTGTTTCTGGCCATAATGACGAGTAGGGACAGGATGTTTACCATAGAAACAAGTGTTACATTAACTGCTTTGGACACATTGACTCATTTCATCTTTACAAAAATCCTAAGAGGCAAATCTTATTAATATCTTCCCTTTACAAGTGATAACACTGAAATTAGTGAAGCTAGCCTGAGGTCATAAATATAGTATTATAGGCAATAGATGTGATGATGCTATTAACAGCCCAGGGCATTCATCAAGATCCTCTTATTTATTAGTTCCACATCAGGAAGGAATGGAGGGACCTTGGATTATTTAGACTTGATTCCAACACTAGGAAAAGATCTTTTCTGAAAATGCTTTCAATAGTGATAACTTAAACATTGAACAGATTTAGGGGCAGGAAGCTTACAGTCACTTAAAGTAACTCCACTTGACTTTAAACAAGTTAATATTTTTTTTTAAGTTGTTTATATTCAGACCCAAATCTGTCCCTAGTATCTTCCGTACACTGACTTCACTTTTAACCTCTGGAACTAAACAAAACCAACATAACACTTTCTACATCAAGACTTTGCAAATATTTATGTTCAATTTGCATTAGGCACCCCCAAACCCACAAGGCTTACTTTTTCAAATTAAATCGATCAGATAGATTAATTATTTTATGATCATTTACCATCATGGTTATCTTGCTTTGAAAATATTCTCAATACATCCTTCTTCTAGTCTTCCTAATAAAGTCGGCTAAGTCTAGAGTATAATTGATCTCTTCCTTTTCCTACTGGAGAAAATATAGTCTATTAATGAGACAAAATATTGCTTTCGATTTGTTGATAATCATATTATGCTGTTAATGCATACTGAGTAGCTAACACAATTCTGAGATCTTTTTATACTGAGAATTCTGAACCTATACCCCACCATAATTTTCATCATTGTTTTCCTAGATTTTTTTTTAATATCCCCTTCACTGCAGAATATTTTCCTAGATTTTAAGAAGGCCAGGCCATCTCAAGCCTTATTTAACCTTCACCTTCTTAGGTTTAACTCAAAATTCCAGCATAAGGTATACTTGAATTTGAATACCTTCACTCAACATATTAGGTATTTTTATAAGTATTCAAACTTTTTATTAACCACAAAGTTGGCAAGATTATCTTCCTAGTCTATATCCAAGTCATCACTGGGCCAACAGCAGATTCCTGTGGCCTGCCTCAAGAAACCTCTCTCCATGTTGACCGTGATCCATAAATGACAAGGTATTCAGATTTTTCTACCTAATCACATAAAGAATAAGCTGAATAGTCCTTTCACAATGGTAATAAAATCTTAGCTCACAGGAAGCTCCTTCATCCTAAAAATATAAACACCATTGAGATTAGGCATGAATAAATTGAAATACTTGGATTCAGAGTTATGCTATATAATATGATTTACCATAGGCTTTGGATCCAAGTTTAGCACTTCCTTTAATTCTTCACTTTTTAAATTGGTTGGTCCTTACCGTAGCATGAATGCTTTGACACCCCATGAATTAAGCAGTAAGGGAGTGGCAAGGTTTATCTTTCAAAGGAGACTAGAGATGTTAGTATATTTCTCTCATGTTAAAATAGCTTCTATGTCCTTCTAAATATTTTTTGTTAAATTAGTGAATATTATAGTAAGAAGCTAGATCAAAAAGGAAAATAAAACAATAAAATCACTGAGCAATCTTAAATTAAGGAGAAATCACAGCCATAGGAAGCTAACCAGACTGTCAGGTTACCAGAATTTCTAGTACCTGAGAGAATCCGCACAGAATTGCTGAGGCTGATGGGCCACCCATCTTTAAGCCAAGTTGTTGAAGGCAGAGGAATTCCTGAAGCTTCACAAGTCAAGGACACAGAGTTCTTTTCCACCACACTGATATTTTCAGATGCCCTGTGGTTTCCTATGATGTTTGGAGGGGCTACAAGACAAAACAAAGCAAACAGAACATGGAAAGGAAGGAAGTTAATATAGGAACCTGGAACACAGTCTCCTGAGTAAAGTATCTCAAGAATGGAGGGAAAAGTATCCAATGTACTCAATACGTCTATGGTCTATGAAACCAACTTGTATTTACTCACACTTTCTTATGAAAGGTAGAACACAACTATAGCCCAGGATGAAGGAGAGAAATGGAGTGGGAAGGGAGGGGAGGAGGGAGGTTTGCTAGAGTGTGGGTAAATGGCGGGATCATACCTATGGAGCATATTGCAAGAGTACAAGTCAAATCTATCAAGTGTAGAACATAAATGTCTTAACACAACAATCAAGTAAATGAGGTGAAAGCTATGTTGATTGGTTTGATGTAACCATATCAGATTGTATAAAAAAGTCAATACATGGTACCCCACATATGCATAAATGTATTCATGATCTATGTGTGTGTGTGTGT